GTTTTCGAAAATGAATTTTTGAAAAAAAAAAAAAATTCTGCTAAAAATGCAAAACGACGTTTTGGCTCACAAAACTCGCTTCCTAATGAAAACACGGGAAACGGCCTCGTCTCCTTTTTTCCCCCTAAAATTCTTCATCTTGCTTGAGCGGATCGCCGTTTCCTTTTCCCCCCAAAATTCTTCCTCTTGCTTGAGCTTCCGATCCGTCGCCTCTTCCATTAATAACTTCCACCACCCACCACCTAAGATGTTGGACCCCAAAGAAAAAGGATTTGGCAAATCCACTGTCAAACTCATGGTGGAAAAAGCTGAAGATGGGGAGGATTGCCTATGGGAGGAACCGCATTTTAGTCTCAGTGCTTACGTGGCTGGGGATTGCACAAAAAGGTGTCATGGATGTGCACGAGATTTTTTCATGATTGCAGATTACCTAACCAAAGGTGCGAGATTGGGATTTTCAAAATTGAAATACAAAGAGAACTGTCCCTTAGCCACTCATTTTCAAATTGGAGCAATCAAATTGCCCAATTTCATCTTGCTTAAATCTTGTCATCATATGAATTAATATGTTGACTTGGATATTAAAACTAACATGACTACTGTATATGTCCACATTACACAACTACACATAATCCATCTCTTATCTTCTTTTAAAAAAAAAATCGTATAAACAACAATAATTTTTTTTTTTTTTATGTGAGCTATTCATTATTTTTAACGTTTGGGGATTAGCATATTTCCTTAATTAAATGGAAAGTTGTGCACAAAGTGACAAAATCTACAAGCAAATCATAATCGGGTGACCTGATTGCATTGGATTATAGACGAGTGACCAAATTTAAAGTATATTGAAGTTGGATGTTCTGATTGTACCAAAATGAAGATTAGTAACTTGAATGCACCTTCACTAATAGTTGGATGACCCGCAATGCATTTAATCCTTTAAAAAACCCAATTATTTGTCAATTACCGTGGAGTTTTACAAAAAGAAACATTTTTTTTATCTACTACATATAAGAAAAGGTAATTGGTGTAAAACGTCCCATCTTTGCCGGTTTTTGTGCAAATCGTCCATATCTTTCATTTCTTGGCGCAGAACGTCCCTACCTTTCACATTTTTGACGCAAAATGTCATTTTGACCAATTTTTAACATAAAATAACCAATATACCTTCCTAAAGAAAAGAAAAATCAAGAATAAATTGCAATTATTTCCTCCAACAAGCAACCAACAATCACCAATTTCGAAGTAAAGATAGTCTAGTCGGCGCGCTCGCGAGTTCGCTGGTTCAAACGAAAATTGAAGATGATTCCGGCCAAATTGAAGGGAACAACGCACCAACAAGGCGCGTTTTCTAGTTCAAGTGAGGTGACCCACGGTGGTGGACCACCTGAGCTGGGTGCGCCATCACTTGGGGCACCTAGCCCAGCTATGGGTCCCCTTCAATTTGGTCGGAATCATCTTCAATTTTTGTCTGAACCAGCGAACTTGTGAGCGCGCCAACTTGACCTGCGTTGTAATTTTTGAATTTGATTTTCGACCAAATATGCCGGAAATGAAGATGGTGGTTGGGTGAGTTGTGAAGAGGGCAATGAGGGCTTCAAGATGGTATGTTGATCCGGCGACCAAGGTGATCAAAGATTGGGGAATTTGCCTTCAAAGTCCTTGGGTGGCATCGCCGAGGTCGGAATTCGTGGTGGAAGGTGCTGACCGTTTTGTGGAGGAAAAGTGGCTGAGGGGGTGATTGATTTTTTAGTGTTTGTGATTGATTTGTACATTTTTAAAAGTTTGGACCCATAATTACAATATATTATGTATTTTTCTTTTCTTTTGTTTTTGTTTTTGTCTTATTTTCATAGAAGGGTAAAAGTGTCCAAAAGAGTCAAAAATAACGTTTTGTGTAAGAAAAGGCAAAGGTAGGAAAGTTCTGCTCCAAAAAACGAAAGGTATGGACGTTTTGCGCCAATTACCCTATAAGAAACATACAAATTTGAAGTGCAAATACAAATATTCGTATGTTAATTCTTGTGTGGTTTCACAGATACACTTTGCGACATTACATATAAAATTATAATGTAATAAAAATTGAAATATTAGCAATTATTAAATTCATATTGAAACAATAAGAAAAAAAAATTAAGAAGTACACGTCGCATACAATATTTGAAAAAATTTATCATATTTCAACTGTACAAATTCTTATAGCCCATGTTTGGTATCGATTAAAATCTTAAATTCTAGATTTTAATTTAAATCAAAATTAACAATTAATTTTAATTACATATTTTATGGGTCCCACAATTTTTTAACTACTCGTTTCATCAATTTCTATCGAAATCTATTAATTTTAATCCTCACAAAATAGGGCATAGCATGCAATTAGGAAAATTTCACCATTGATCCCAATCCATGAATGTAGTTGCAATGTCATCCTCATCCATTTTTTTATGGCATATGATATCAAACTCACAGGTTTAGGTTGCCCACAACGGTGGAAAACTGGCAGGGTTGAGGTAGGGTGAAAGATAGAACTCTTTTTTTTTTTTTCATTTTTTATCTTTCCACTTTATTTTACAATTAATGATATTTATCTCATTCATTTAAAAAACACTTTTAAGAGTCAAATTAGTATGAAAGAAATGTGATTATATTTATTAACACTTTTTTTCCATACTAGTGTGGACACGTGGATTGCACGTCTGTCGCGGTGTAAAAAATTATTTGTTGTTGGGAGGCTTTAGCTCCTGTTATAGCCTCATTATTTAAATTTTACTTTTTTTAAATACATTTTTTATCACGTATTCTTTCAAAAAAATAATAATAATAATAATGTTGTAAATTCAAAAAAATTTCATAGTTTTAACCATATATTCTCCAAAAAAGAAAATCATTATTACAAAATTTACTCTCCTAAAAATTAGACTCAAACAAAGAGTTTTACTTTTGCACTCATCTTTCTTAGATATGTGTGCTTAACAATTGTTCCGATGGCAAAATGTGTGTGTGTGTGTGTGTTTTTTTTAAGTAACTATGGAGTACATAAAGATGACGAAGTTTTAATGCAGTTAAAATAAAGTGTCAACGTATTTAACCAAAATCCGTTATCATTATATAACATATCTTGATTATTTATAGATGAAAAGGATTCATTTCTTGAAATCTATATTCTAATTTCGTGGTGTAACATGTATAGTTCCATGCCAATTATTGAATAGATGCAAAAAAAAAAAAAAAACTTTTGTTTATAGAATGAAAGCAAAAAGATCCATTTCTTGACATCTCCATTCTTATTTTTGTGGTGTAATATATATCCTTCCATAAATGTCTTGGAATAGATGCAATGAATAAAAAAAGTGAACTTCTATTTAAGAATGAAAGTGAAAAGATCTAATTCTTGAAATCTCTCTCCCGATTTCGTGGGGTAACATGTATCATTCCCCATCGATCTTGAAAAGACGTAATAAATAAAAAATAAACTTTTGCTCAATAATGAAATTTTATAGTAATTGTCTATGTTTGATTCATCATTCAACACCTATCCGCCTATGTTGGATCCATCCTTCAAAATCACATGACATTTCGGTATAATTGAATATGATGAATTGCTATCATACTTGTATATACTCAATGATTAGATACATTACCAATTTATTTATTTTGGATAAGCAGTCGACCTAAAATTATAAGTTGGGACTTTAAAAAATATAAAGCCTGTTTGATGGACATTATTTTGATAAAATGACCTTTGTAATAGTGAATTATCAAAGAATATGTGGATAAAAAAACAATTTTTTTTGAATTCACGTGTTGTTTGAAGGATGTGTGATGGTCTTGTTTAAAAAAGGGTTAAAATGAATTTTGAAATTAAAAATAAAATAAAATAAAAAGAGGAAGGAGGAAGGGCTAGGCTAGGGTCGTATAGACCAATGAAGTGCCCAAACTTATAGGTGTACGCAAGACAGTACACACATCTACTTCTCACTGTCGGTGGAGCTCTAAACTACTCGGAAGCTCCCTCGTCGTCTTCTTCTATTTTACGCATATATTTTATTAATTTCTCATCATATATAAACAATTACACACTAACAGCTATACATATATATGGATTTTCGCGTCTCTCCGTAGAAAGGAATCAAGAGAGAGAATCAGACAGGTAATTATCTTTCTTACTCCGTCTCTCTTACTTCAATTTTTAGTTTGCATTTTTTCTCATATTTCGATTTAGATCTGGTAGTTGATGTATTGTTTTTAGGTGATTACGAAGAAAAGTCTGTTTCTCGTTGGCGGAGTGTGCGATATCGTTAGATCTTTAGGTGATTGTTTAATTTTCGTTCAATTTGCGCTTCAATATGTCCGTGTGAGTATGGTAATGAACAGATATGTGCGGGTATATGTGAGAGTGAATGATATTGAGAGTTTTTTGTTTAGTTTCTTTCACAAAATGGTTACTGAAAAATTTTAAGCAGGTTGAGCTTAAAGTTGACTACTGACTTCAATTTGATTGACATAATTCAATATTTTCTTCTCTGGGGCTCATTTAATTGAATACCTTGTAAGTCAAACAGAGAGAATGAAAATCGGAGACTCTATAAGATCTTTTGTTTTAATTGCTAAAATGTCGATTGAAGGAAGGCCTGATCGGGAATTCACTTGATTTTCATTTTACATATTTGTGTATTTAGCTCTTGCTTGGTCCCATTATGTCAAAAATATATTTTTCCTCTCGTATTTTCAACCACACGTTCTTTCAATAAAATAATATTACACGCTTATTTTTTAACCACACATTCTCCATCAAATCACTAATGCCGCTCAAAGTGGCTCTTAATTGTTTTTAATTTGATATTTACGCGGTTGGATGTAGATCTTATCTGTGAATTGAGGAACTCTAATTGAAAGAGTTATCTTTTCAGTGAAGAGGCTTTAGGCACGTGGAAATTTGAGTGAAGCTGATATCTATTTGCTTGTAAATCCATTGCTCTCATTTTAGCTAAGTGATGATGGAATCTGAAGCAGAAATTAAGGTTAGTACGAAAACTGCATTGTTATTTTTAATGTTTGTGGGATGCTTAATTTGCTTCAAGGTTGAACTTCTAAAGGTCTTTACTCTTTAGCTAGCTTTTCTGACTTTTAACTGAATATGAGCTGTTGATTTTGTAAAATCCCCTAATATGAACTTCTTTATTCCCCATGCACTATGATTTGTAGATTTTGATGTTATATTGAACTTAAATAAAGTAAACTTTTATGCTGAATTATTTATAGATTGTGAAATCAATTTGAATTTATTACTTAAGAGTATGCTGAAATCTTTTGTCTCATTTTTTGGGTTTACTTCTCTGATTGAATTGTTTATGAAGTGGATTTTAGAATAACTAAACCTCGGAGTCATTGGATTTCTTTGTTACTGAATTGTGGTGCTGAATTATCAGGGAAAGACCTTGAAGAACATGGGCAGTCAGGTCTGNATCAGGGAAAGACCTTGAAGAACATGGGCAGTCAGGTCTGCCAGATCTGTGGTGATAACTTGGGCTCGACTGTTGATGGTGAGCCATTTGTTGCTTGTGATGTCTGTGCATTTCCAGTTTGCAGGCCTTGCTATGAATATGAGAGGAAGGATGGGAATCAGTCTTGTCCTCAGTGCAAAACCAGATACAAGAGACACAAAGGTATATATATTGTAGGCTTGTTGATGTTTAGTAATTGACTCTACATGAGTGCGAGCACATCTATTAAAGACGATATCAATATGTTTATGATTTTTCTTTTTCAGTAGTTATACTATTACTTATGTTTGATATTGTATGTACATTAGTGCATGATACAAAGTTTTTTTTTTTTTAGTTGCAATAAAAATGGATTAGGCATAAAAAAAACTCGAGGTAGTAAGAAATTGACTTCAAGCGAGCACTTCCTGTTCAACCAAGAGCAACAAAATGTAACAGAACGAGGAAGGCTTAATTATTGTGAACAATAGCCAAGCGATCATTATCATAGGAATGTTGATTATGAGTCTGCATTTTTGTACCCTTCGTCGGCCCCTTTGATTTGCGGGCAAATACTGGTCATTCAATTTTTATCTTCGTATTCTTAAAGAAACTAGCGACAGTACATTTTGAGTGGTGATTAATAATATTTGAAACTTAATTCTGGATTTATTGAAAGTGACTTCTTGCACTTCCACTCTATACAGGAAGTCCTGCTATTAGTGGTGATGGGAAGGATGAAAATGTCAATGATGATGGTGCCAGCGATCTTCATTATGCTGAAACTCAAAATGAGAAGCAAAAGGTTTCAGAGCGTATGTCGAGCTGGCACATGAATTATGGACGAGGAGAAGATATTGGGGCACCAAAATATGACAAAGAGGTCTCCCACAATCATATTCCTTTGCTTACAAATGGAACAGACGTATGTTTTATGTGCTTATTGTCCATTGCTTCATACCTCCAAACCAAAAATATAAGTATTCATTTTTTGTGTAATAGAGATACATAAAACCTCCCGCCCTCTATTTCAGGTTTCTGGAGAACTGTCTGCAGCGTCACCTGGACGCCTTTCAATGTCATCTCCTCCACCTGGAGGTGGTGGTAAACGTATGCATCTACTTCCTTGCAACTGACATGGATGAATCACAATATTTTTTTTTTGAACTCATTTATTCTTGCATCAAGTTCTTTTTATTTCCTGTTTGGCACTTATATTCTTTCTTTTAACTGCAGCTAGGGCTGTGGATCCAGTGAGGGAGTTTGGATCTCCAGGATTGGGCAATGTCGCCTGGAAAGAGAGAGTTGATGGCTGGAAGATGAAGCAGGAAAAAAATGTTGTTCCAATGACAACTAGCCATCCCCCTTCGGAAAGGGGAGCTGGTGATATTGATGCCAGCACAGATATTCTTGTGGATGACTCTTTGCTGTGAGTTCCTTATTGTTCTAGTTATATTGATAATTCGGCTTCTCACTGACTATCTTCTGGTCATGATATCTGGGAATATTGGTGTGAATACATAGAAGACCTTAGTTTTGTACCTTTTTAGCTGCACGAGTTTCAGTTCAATGTGGTTTTTTATGTAAATGAAGTTAGTGTGATCCGGATGTAATTTACCTAAAGACTGTTTTATACAAATAAGGCAAGCGTCTTCCATGCAAGATTTATTGATTTTCATCAAATAAGGCAGCTGTCGTTCCTGTACCTGATTTGTCATCATGCTGCAGGAATGATGAAGCTCGACAGCCCCTTTCAAGGAAGGTTTCTGTGCCATCATCCAGGATAAACCCTTACAGGATGGTTATTGTGTTACGACTTGTTATTATTTGCATTTTCTTACACTACCGATTGACAAATCCAGTGCCAAATGCATATGCTTTGTGGTTGATATCTGTGATCTGCGAGATCTGGTTTGCTATATCCTGGATTCTGGATCAGTTCCCGAAATGGCTGCCAGTAAATCGTGAAACATATCTCGATAGACTCTCTCTTAGGTGGGAAATTTTCTGTTTATTCAATTTATACTTTTTGGTCTTCATTTTGCTTTGTTCAGTTCACTTTTGTTATTCTGAAAGTATCCAAACCATCATTTTCTACAAGGGTTTTCTTTTCTCTGATTACATCATAAAAGTTCCAAGTTATACACCTGATTTTGGAAATATATAAAAATTGTACAACAGATATGATCGAGAAGGGGAGCCTTCACAATTAGCTGCTGTTGACATATTTGTCAGTACTGTTGACCCTTTGAAGGAGCCTCCTCTTGTTACAGCTAATACGGTCTTATCCATTCTGGCGGTTGACTATCCAGTGGACAAGGTCTCATGCTACGTTTCTGATGATGGTGCTGCTATGTTAACGTTTGAAGCTCTGTCAGAAACATCAGAATTTGCAAGGAAATGGGTCCCTTTTTGCAAAAAGTACAATATTGAACCACGTGCTCCAGAATGGTACTTCTGTCAGAAGATTGACTACTTGAGAGATAAAGTTCATCCATCATTTGTCAAAGATCGTAGGGCTATGAAGGTGAGAAATTTATATTGCAAAACATTTCCATTTTCTGTTTCCTTTGGTCCAGGAGTCCTATTTTTGTTCTTTCTTGTCCTACAGCGAGAATATGAAGAGTTCAAAATTCGTATCAATGCACTTGTCGCCAAGGCCCAAAAGATTCCTGAAGAAGGTTGGGTCATGCAAGATGGTACACCATGGCCAGGAAATAACACCAGAGACCATCCAGGAATGATTCAGGTTAGCTTGGTTTGATGGAACTGTGTAACAGATCCCTGCACAACGAGATATAATGGTTTCCCATCGTATACTGAATGTTCAAATGTTCAGAAAAACTATTTCTAAAAATATTGATATCTATTCAAAGTATTTCAAAATTAATTGAATTTAATCCTCGTATGTGATAGGCAAACACTTGTCACATTTTCTTTCACCACTAGGTGGATTTAACACTGTCATCATCGTACTTGCATCTTCACAGTTTTGCTATATTTGAAGTAACTCATCTAGATTCTGTTGCTTGCAGGTTTTCCTAGGCCAAAGTGGAGGTCTTGACAGTGAGGGTAATGAGCTGCCAAGGTTAGTGTATGTTTCTCGTGAGAAGCGTCCAGGATTCCAGCATCACAAGAAAGCTGGTGCTATGAATGCACTTGTAAGTAGTTGATGATTGTGATCTGCAGTTATTCTAAAATTGCTTTGTTGGCACATTTAACATTTTATGTACAATTCGACTCTTGCAGGTTCGTGTATCAGCAGTTCTTACTAATGGACCTTTCTTGTTGAATCTTGACTGTGATCACTACATAAACAACAGCAAAGCTTTGCGAGAAGCAATGTGCTTTCTTATGGATCCAAATCTTGGAAAATATGTCTGTTATGTGCAATTTCCACAGAGATTCGACGGTATTGACAAGAATGATCGATATGCCAATCGTAACACTGTCTTCTTTGATGTGAGTTCATGATTACTGCTATTATTATTTGCGTTTGTTTCCTACTAGAATGTCCAAATGAACCGTAATAAATAATTTGATAATATTCAGTATGCATAGTAACTTGTTCTTTTTCTTTGTGCTGTTAGATTAACTTGAGAGGTTTGGATGGTATTCAAGGCCCTGTGTACGTGGGTACTGGATGTGTCTTCAATAGAACAGCTTTATACGGTTATGAGCCTCCTCACAAACCTAAGCAGAAGAAATCTGGGTTTCTCTCTTCCTGTTTTGGTGGGTCAAGAAAGGAAAGTTCTAAATCGAGCAAGAAGGGGTCAGACAAAAAGAAATCTAAAAAGCATGTTGATCCCACTGTTCCAATTTTCAGCTTGGAGGATATAGAGGAGGGTGTTGAAGGTACTGTTTCTGTTTAAATCAATATTCTTGAGTTCCTACTTGCATTGACGGTACATATTTGTTATCAAGGCACAAAACAATTACATGTATCGTGTTCGGTCGTGTGTAATTAAGTACGAGATTTTGTCGGTGAAAATTGATCTAGGCATGTAAATTTTGTTAATAAGGCTATACCAATGGAAGCATGCATTTGTTTGCTGGGAACACATGCAGTTAACATGTGTTTTAAAATGTAGTACCTGTAAGTGACCAGAATAAAGGGCGGAAAGAGTATGGCAAGAGCATTTTTTAAACGCAATACTACAAGTACATAAACTTCATCTGATCTTTGCTCAGGGTTAAAAGGCTAGTCCCTGCCATTCCACCTGGATTGACACTCTTTGGTGCTGCTTTCCATCTTTTTCTGCCTTTTTTTTTTGTCTGGGTGGGGCTTTTGTGGTAATTTTTGGATCATATGAACTGGCTTCATAATGGGCCGGTGAAGTGCTGGAATGCAACCATTGGGTGTGGTCCATGTCCCTTGAGTACATCTCACATTACTTAGTTGGAATTGTTTTCAATTTTTTCAAATATGCATGAAATGTTCTGTCTTTTTTCTTTTTCTAATCATTCTTATTTCATGATCTGCCTGGTTTTCACGAATCTTGGCACACACAATTGGCTCTCTGTATATTGAGATTCCTCCTTTTGTCTTCTAGGCAGACAGAAGATGCCTACAAGAATTTTCTCTGCAAGTTTTATTTTATTAGCCTTTTCATTTGATCTCTTTGTTAATTCTTCCCTCTTGATTAAAACCAGGTGCTGGATTTGATGATGAGAAGTCACTGCTTATGTCCCAAATGAGCCTTGAGAAAAGATTTGGCCAGTCTGCAGTTTTTGTCGCATCCACACTAATGGAGAATGGTGGGGTTCCTCAGTCTGCTACACCAGAGACTCTTCTAAAAGAGGCCATTCACGTTATCAGCTGTGGGTATGAAGATAAGGCAGAATGGGGAAGTGAGGTAAATTGGCGGTTTTTTAATTTCCATTGAAGCTCCTCCTCCACAGCACTATACCGTTGTTTATCCACGTAATTACAAAATGTTGCCGTTGCCTTGTGACTGGAAAGGCATGGTTGAATATTGGGAGATAAATTATTGATATAGGGGTTGCATTTGATGTAGACTAACAAGTGCTAACAAATGATTTGACATGATTCTATGATTTTTTTGTACATTAGTTTACTTGTTAAATAAAAATCACGACTTTCAATATAATGAGATGAAATAAAAAGTAAAGATCCGATTTCATGGATTTCAAAAGTTTACTCATTTAGGTTGATATTTTTTTTCCTGTGATATCATTTGCTGTAATGGAACTGGAAGTCCACTGCAAGCACCTTTCTGCCATTGTCACTAGAAATCAATTAATGGCATGCAGATATTGGTTATGTACCTTTATCTCTTTACCCCCTTCTGCACTCCCCAAGGAGGGGAAAGCAGCAGTAAAATGGAGCCAATTCTAAGCAGTTATTTTGCTTAGATTGTTCATTAATTGAAGTATTTAAATACTTTGGGTGTGGCCTCTATCCAGCAAAATTGATGTTTGGAGTAGACCTTTAAGATATATATGAACAGTTTTCTTCCTATTTTATATCTAGCACTTTCATTTCAGAAATTTATTTCTCTATATTGGTACTTGATATTTGGAGGCGGTGCTGTCTAGGAGCCCCCTTTTTTGTACTCGGAACAAGTAAATCCCTTAAATATCATGTTTCAATAGAAGGCTTATTTCCCCTTGTTGTGCAGATTGGATGGATTTATGGTTCTGTTACGGAAGATATTCTTACTGGATTCAAGATGCATGCTCGTGGTTGGCGATCAATTTACTGCATGCCTCCCAGACCAGCTTTCAAGGGATCAGCTCCAATTAATCTTTCTGATCGTCTCAACCAAGTGCTTCGATGGGCTTTGGGATCTGTGGAGATTTTGTTTAGCAGACACTGTCCTATATGGTATGGCTATGGGGGAAGGTTGAAGTGGCTAGAGAGGTTTGCATATGTCAACACCACGATTTACCCAATCACTGCCATTCCACTTCTTTTTTATTGTACTCTGCCAGCAGTCTGTCTACTTACTGGAAAGTTTATTATCCCACAGGTTGGTTTCATCTCCCAACAAATTTTCACTTTAAATACCTATTCGACGTTAAATGATCACTCTTCAACAATTTTGTCTTCAATATCTTACTAGTGACTATGTCATTTCCAGTAAGTGGGGTATAATATATAAATATAAAATAAATGTCATACTTCCTTGATCGTGCTATCATCGTTCTGCCTTAAACTGTGTATTCTGTGAAGCTAACTTAATGTATCAACTATACACGCAGTGGTAAATATAACAATATAACCAGTATGATAGCATTTATAATTGTGCCTTGAGCAACTTGAATGAAATTGACAGGAACCTGATTTCACAAATATTAAATATTACTTTGTATTGCAGATCAGTAACCTTGCTAGTATCTGGTTTATATCCCTCTTTCTTTCCATCTTTGCTACTGGTATACTGGAGATGAGATGGAGTGGTGTGGGAATTGACGAATGGTGGAGGAATGAACAGTTTTGGGTGATTGGAGGTGTTTCAGCTCATCTTTTTGCCGTCTTCCAAGGGTTACTCAAAGTGCTTGCTGGAATAGACACTAACTTCACTGTCACATCGAAGGCCTCAGATGAAGACGGGGATTTTACTGAGCTCTACATGTTCAAATGGACAACGCTCCTAATACCTCCCACAACTCTCCTCATCATAAACTTGGTGGGTGTTGTTGCAGGAATCTCCTATGCTATCAACAGTGGTTACCAGTCATGGGGTCCCCTCTTTGGAAAATTGTTCTTTGCCTTCTGGGTGATTGTTCATCTCTATCCTTTCCTCAAAGGTCTTATGGGCCGTCAGAATCGGACGCCCACTATTGTTGTCGTGTGGGCCATTCTTCTTGCTTCCATCTTTTCATTGTTATGGGTGCGAGTTGATCCATTCACCACTAGAGTCACTGGCCCAGATGTTGAGCTGTGTGGAATTAACTGTTAAAGAGTTGACATGCCTCGAACTTGAAAGTTTGATCTCGGAACCTCTGAAGAAATCAATGTCGGGAGGTTTCCATGTGATTCTTGTAAGTTCTATCTACTCCATCTCGCTGTATGTTTTCGTGTATGTGAAATTCACATTTGTTGTATAGTTGATAGCTAATTTTTTTGTTGTGACAAAAGTAATTACAAACAGAAACTTTTTATGTTCTTAAAGAGAGTGGTGGAAGAATTGTATGTTTCTGAATTTTGACTCATTGCTAGATGAAGTCTTGTAAGTTATTTATAATAACAATTTTCATCCTTGTAATGGATTTATTCAATTCATAGAACATATTCTCAAATGGTGTAACTACTGTGTCCTGCATTAATTGATTTCATCTTATGCTGTATGGAAATAATCATTACTGTGTTTATACTGTTAATCATCAACATAGCACAAGTGAAATATTGTTCCCTATAGGAGTTAAACATGAGGAATAAGACATGGTTATAATTGTTAAAGGACTACTACTGTACTTTTTATTACTATACTAGGTGCAAGCAACGTGCAATGCACGTTTGCCTAGTTTATATTTAATAGTTTTGTTTAATAATTAATTTGTTATTAATAAAGATGTAATTTTTTTAGTTAATTAAATAATTAATGATGTAATGTTTATGTAATTGATAAATAATTAGATGTGTGATTTTGATGTTGTGATGTAAGTTGGTGAGATCGAAGAAAATAAGCAAAAGTTGACAAATTTGGAGAAATGGCTAAATTGTAA